GGATGAGTGTCCACCTCTGGGGTATGTGTGCAGAAGTTTGGTAGTACAGGGTGAGATTTGCATGGAATAAGATAGGTAGAATAATCATTTCTGTCAGAACGGGCGCAGACATAAAGTCCTAAGTGCCATGGTGACCTCTCAGTTCTTACTGTTACCACATGTTGAAATCTTACCAAGTTTTACAAAATGACATGATGCATACGTAGTGGTTTTAGTGCTGTTACATCTTAAAGAGAATTACATATGCAGACAATACATTAACTCTGTCAGTGTGTCCCAGTCGCTCTGAGCTTTTGCAGGACTTAATCTGCTTTCAAAATGATGCTGACAGTATTTGTATTCCTACAGTTGCTTAGGAGCCCTAATCATAGACAAGGTTTTGACACAGGAGGAAATCAGTGTTGTAATAAGCTTTGAATCTGTGAAATGGGAAATGACCAGTGAATGTAGGTAGATAGGAAATAATGCTAACATGTAAGGGATTCAGCATACTAGTAGCCTAACGTTACATTGCCAGTTTGCTGAACACGCCAAGTGGGGAGAGAAGAGTGTGTGGTTTTGAGGTTTTGAGGGTTTTGTAGGTTTAAAGGAGGATTGTGTACTAGTTTTGGTGATACTGCCTTGGGAGAATACTTTCCATGTATCTGGGAACCATGGAGAATGTGAATAAGTGCTTGTTTGGAAAATTCAGTAGGTAGATGGTGGCTGGTGTTACAAGCTAGGCATCAGATCTGCTAGTGGATGAGATTGAAAAGGCTGCAGAAGTCTTCAAAGAGGAGTCAAGGGAAATAGGTGTGATAAAGGAGGAGAGTTCACTGCTGGGATGATGCAGTTAAAGCCAGTGACTAGGAAAATGATCCAGTCAGCAGCTTTCAAAATAGATGTTGAGTTAAAAATGTCATGTTGAAAATGTGATGCCAGAGAAAAGCATGCAGTAATGCTGTTTTATTCAGCAAGGAGACATTTTTTCTTTTTTTCTTTTTTTTTTTTTTTTTAAGACAAATATTAATTTTTAAATTGGGTGAGCTCTTCCTATCCCTTAAAAACGTAAGAATTCTATAACCATATATTTCCTTTTTTGGAGGGAGAGGGGGAAGAGGAAAAACAGTGAGAAAATAATTTAATGAGATGTATATACAGAAAATATTTATGTAGAATTTTTAAGGTATCCATTCTTAAATTGGAAAGAAAATAATCTTTACATGTAATAGGTAACATAAAATTGATCTATGACTCAAAATGACAGTATCTATGACTCAAAATGACAGTGTTGCTTTTAAAACACTTTAAAGTTCATTTGGCAGCTCAGTACTTTTGTTTGTTTTTAGGAATTGTTCAACTAGTCATACTAAACAACAGAAAACTTCATTTTACCTTCTGACCCAATATATTAGATGGACAACAAAACAGTTGAGAGACACTTCAGAGTTAAATCTGAATTTTTCTTCCTCTTAATTAGTATCCTAATGTTTATGTTCTTGTTGCTTTCCAAATACTTCTAAAGTGAAAACAGAAGTAATAATTTCTTTTCACGTTATCGCTATTCCTTTGCAATTTTAGCAACTTCAGCATTAAGATTATACTATTTTTGGTCTAATTGTATTCTGAAGGTGAGCTTTGATTCCCTTTGCTAGCACTGGAGCTGATGGTGTTCAGCATTCCCAAGATTCAACCCTTGTTGTTTTTCTCATTGTGTTCAAAATTGCAGGAAATCTGCTCTCTGTGTTAAAAAGCTCATATGAGGTCATTGGAAGGACAAGATAATGTTGCAAGTTAGCAAGGTGGATTAAACTGAGCCTTTTCTTAGCGTAACACTGTTAGATTGAAGGCTAGTGTCAATATGAACGCTTAACTAACACTTTTAATTATTTTATCAGCTCCATTATTCATGGCATAAAGCTAGCAGGCTTTTTTTTCAACCCTTGCATTTGCAGTTCTTCACTGAACCTACCCCAGCTTGTCTTGGTAAAAGGCCGCAGCTTCCTACAACAGAGAGACAGCCCTTACAGTTGCCAAGAGCTCCAGAGAAGTGGTTAGCAGACTCATTTGTTCCCGGGGAATCGGGGCTCAGAGGGCATGCCATACAAGTGGTATCAGGGTCGCCTCAGGAACCGGGATGGTGTTCTCGGTTACAGAAGCTGTGAGGTGAGCTGATTGATGTGGGGATGGCCATCAGCAACGCTCTCCCTGCTCTAAGTGTAGCTCTACAGTCAGTCATGGAGTGGCCTCTGTCCTGAAGAGAGCTTCATGCCTAGGCCTGAGCTTTGTGGAAGAGCACTCTAGCCATAGCTTTCACTGTGAGGCTGAAATGAGTCTGTAATTCATTGGCTCTTTTTCTGATTAGGTTTGGTTTTGTCTTATTAATAGACTTGGATCTTCTGTCTAATAAACAGTCATGAATCATCTGAAGTTGTTTGTGGCTACGCTGAAGTGGCATGGCATTAAACTTCTGGAAAAGCAAGATATAGCCAGAAGGGTATTTTTACATGGGCAACGGTATGTTTCATCAGGAACTTCAGAACCATTCCTGAGTGGGAGTAATTCAAATTATGTGGAGGAAATGTATTATGCATGGCTTGAAAACCCTGAAAGTGTACATAAGGTAAGTCTAAAATTTGACTGTAAATTATAATATTAGGTTAAGGGTGGAATTGATTTTTTTTTTTTCTTTTTATAACTTGTTTTATAAAAAGTCCAGAAGAAGGTCTTGTATGAAATGAAAAATGTGAAACTAATTTCCCACATATCGATTGTTGTAAGATACGATATTGCAGCTAAAAAAGTACAGAGGAGCCACAGGCATGGTGAGCTGAGCGGAAAGAATAAGAAGTCCAGACCAGAAATTTTAAGCTGCTCAGAAACTTTCAGCGTTCCTCCATGGAAATGCTCTTCAAGCAGTCTGTTAAGTAATTAGTTACATCTGGAAAAAGACCTGAGAAATAAAATACTTTTAATTTTTTGGTTTATTGTAATAAGGTTGTGTCAGAGGATGTGTTCTAGTTAAATACTACGTGTGGACATTGGTACCTCTAAACTGCCTGAAGAAGATGAATGTTCGGTTCCCTTTAGGTAGCTGTGGAAGTTGTAACCTTAAAACTGAATTTGAAATTGTCAGAAAAGCCTTCTTAAGTATCTTGAAAAGTATTTTGTTCTGTCTCTCTGCCTCTGTCTCCAGGTGACATACATTTGTTTGCTTTTTTTTTACTTTAAATCTATTGCCCAAATCCTTTCTTGTGGGCAAAATACATAGACTAATTTTTTAACAAGCTTTCTGCTGACAAGGGAGGCTCTCTTATGGTGATACATGTAGAGTAACTTAAGAAGCTGATGAGAAGTCTGATAAATTCTCAGACAGACAAGTCATTTTCTAGAGAAGCAGTGTTATTTGTGCCCAAAACATTTACCAAATTGGTTGTGTGTTCCTTTATTCTTGAGGCACATGTATCAAAATGTCACTTAGAAGTTGTTGCTCTAAGTCCGATAACCTATCCAGAGCTTGGGGAAGTGACGCTAGTTGAAAAAAAAAAAAAAAAAGAGAGACCAAAAAGAGCAATTTTGTAGCTGGGTTTTTTGGATGTTACATATGAATTTAGTCTTGTTGGAAGGTGACATATGCAGTGACAACTAAGAAGACTGAATGTTATTCACATAGCAGATAGGTCCTGGGTCTTTTGTGTTGCACCTTAGCTTGGAACTGAAGAGACCTTCTCCAGGGACGGCTCCTTGTCTCATCCCATCTGTCTTTGGTTCCTCGGCAGGTAACTGCCAGCTGAAGTTCCAGCCGGTGTAGGGCAGGGTGGCATGTTGGGTAGATGCACTGAATTAATTTCTGAGAAGCCCTCATGATGTGCTGGTGCTGTAGATTGATATGAAGCCTTTATTTTAAGGACACTGAAGGGGTGAATTCGTGCATAAGGAGTGCACGTGGTGATACCATATTTTTACTTGCTTTATTTAAGTTACATTGACTCACGACAACCTTCTTTCCTTTAAGAAGAATGACGTTTCGTGTTCGGAGCCTTTACAGCAGAGTGGATTTTGCTGCTGTGCAGTCTGGCACATTTGCAGTGGGCATAACCCTCAGTAAAGTCGCACAGGCGCTGCGCGGTTACACTCGCCGCAGCCGGAGGCGGGGGCACCGGGGAGCCGGTCCCGGTGGG